TCCACCCCAAAACTCCCTCAGTCCTCCCCAAATCCACCCCCAAATTCACCAAACCCCCCCCAAATGCCTCCGTACCCCCTGCACCCCCATACAGCCCCCTGCATCCCCCCCAAGCCTCCGTACCCCCTGCACCCCCATACAGCCCCCTGCATCCCCATATACCCCCCGCGGCCCCCTATACCTCCCTGAGCCTCTATACACCCCCTGCACCCCATAGAGCTCCCTGCACCCCAATACATCTCCCTGCACCCCATATATAGCTATACTTGCAAACCTATAGGTGCTCACTCACCCTATACACCCTCCTGCGTGTCCCCAAGCCCCTATGCATCCCTTTACACCCCAAACTGCTATACGTAACCGTATGGCTCCCTACACCCCTATACATCCCCCCGCCCTCCATGTAGCCCTCTGTACCCCTATATATTAAGCAGACCCTCCCATAGAGCTCCCCACACCCCTATACATCCCCCTGCCCCCATATAGCTCCCTGCACCCCTATATATTGCCCTGCACCCCAAACCACTCCCTGCACCCCTATATGTGCCCCTGCACACCACACCGCTCTCTGTGCCCCTATATATTAAGTGGGTCCCCCATAGAGCTCCCAGCACACCTATACACACCCTGCACCCCATATAGCTCCCTCTGCCCCTATATATTACCCTGCACCCCATACTGCACCCCACACCCACATACATCCCCCTGCACCCCATACGGCTCTCTGTACCCCTGTATATTGCCCTGCCCCCCATATCACCCCCCACGCACGTGCCCCTGCCACATATGGATCCCATATGTCCCCAGTGCGTTTCCGCGTCTTCTCCCTGGACCCCGACCTGCGGCCGAACCCCGAACCCATCCTGGTCACCATCACGGTGCGGGGCCTGTGGGGCTGGGCTATGGGGTGGCCCAATGGGGCTGGGGTAGCCTGTGGGGTGGCCCTATGGGGCTGGGGAGGTCCTATAGGGCTGGGGCCACCCAATGGGGCTGGGACAGCCTATGGGGCAGCTCTATGGGGCTGGGGCTATGGGGAGAGCCCTATGGGGCTGGGGCATTCCTATGGGGCTGAAGTTACAGGGCAGCCCTATGGGGTTGGGCCTATGGGTCTGGGGTGATCTATGGGTCTGCCCTATGGGGCTGGGGCTATGGGGCAGCCCTATGGGGCTGGGCTGAGTACTCTGGGGCTGGGCCGCGGGTCCCCCCTCGGATGCCGTGGGTCAGGCCGTGGGTCAGGGCCCCATGTCACCCCCTGCCCCCCGGCTCCCAGAACCCCCTGGGGGCGCGGGTGCGGGAGGAGCAGCGGATGCCCCTGGGGACGGTGCTGAGCGACCAGATGGTGCTGC